GGCTTTACGTGTTTTATGATAACTAATTCCATTATAGTCTGATGTATTATTTTTTGATAATTTATGATTTAGCATATTTTCTCTTGGTGTTGTTTCTCGTAAATTAATTTCTCGATTATCTAAACTATTTCTATTAATATGATCAATCATTTTAAAATTTGGTTTAATAATTTGATGAAGCAAATAGTTTTTTCTATTATATTTTGTTTGAATATAATAAATATTTGCAATTTTTGTTTTAAAACAAGACCATGTAAAATTTTGTAAGAGATGAAAATTCTCTTTATCAAGTAAAAATGTGATTTCTGGTTTTTGGGTTGAAACTTCGAGAAATAAAGTCGTATCAATTTCAACAATCCGATAAGAATTAGATTTTCTTCGAGGTTTAACGATTGGAATTTCAGTCCAACCAGACAAAATTTCAAAGTTTTTGATTTTTTCTTGCCAACTCGAATCCATTATTCAAGAAAAAATATTTAAAATATTTTATGGATTTAAATAAACGAGAATGTCAAAGGAATTAAAAATGCCTTTGTATTTATATTTTTATTAAGTTTATTTATTTAATTAATACAAATAAACATTTCGATAAAATTTACAGCTATTACATCGAATGAACCATTTTTTTTTGTCTATTGACCTTTTGAAATAAATTTTTTTTTGTTCTTCAGAACATTTACATAATTCAGAAAATTTGAAATCCGAACGGTCATAGTTAGATGTAATGATAAAAAAGTGTAAACAACCTAAATTAATGATAAAATCTGTGATAAAAATATTATCAAATTTGTTTCCAAATAAGTTTAATATGATAATTTCCCAAAAATTGAACTCAGGTTTTCCTTTCTTTCTGACAAATGTGCTCAGACCAGAATAATAATTATGTTTATATTTAAACAAATTAAATAATAACATGGTTGAATCAAGAGTAAAATTCAATAGATTATTTTCAAAAAGTGTATTGAACTGGTCTAGAAGGATAGTCTCGAAATAGATTTTAAAGGGTTTATTAATCAATCTCATTTTATCACAAATCCATTTTGGATGTTGCTTTGAAGTGATATTATGTTTATGGAATGTTATCTTTTTGATAATTTCGTCAGCTAATGTTCGAAAAGTTTCAAACAATATTTCAGGTGGCAAGAACATATTGTTTTTCGTTTGAGTTCTTTCTTTTTTCAAATTGTTTTTCTAAAATATTTATATTTTATTTATTTTTTTTTTAATTTTTACTCTCTACGGTATTAATTTCAAATCAGAATTTCAATTAAATATTTGTTTGATCCTGTGATCACATATTTCCAAATCAGAATTTTTACGGATTCGGCAAATATTAAATTACATATTTCCAAATCAGAATTTTATAGATTCGGAAAGTTATACAAATTTTCAAATCAGAATTTTTACGGATTTGGTTAAATTATCATTCCAAATCAGAATTTTACGAATTTAGAAAGTTATACAAATTTCCAAATCAGATTTACTAATTTGTAAAGAATTAGTCATGTGCTTTTCTGAATACTTTGAAATGACCAATCATTTTATCGGTTAAACTTTGAATATTTTGGAATTGACCAATCGTTTTATCAGTTAAACTTCGAATATTTTGAAATTGACCAATTGTTTTATCAGTTAAAATTCGAATATTTTGAGATTGACCAATCGTTTTATCAGTTAAAATTCGAGTACTTTGAAAAAGTCTGTCACGTTAAAATTCGAGTACTTTGAAAAAGTTCTGTCACGTTAAAATTCGAGTACTTTGAAAAAGTTCTGTCACGTTAAAATTCGAATATTTTGGAATTGATAACGAATATTTTGGTTATATGTGTTTAAATTTCGAATATTTATTAAAAATTATTTTATCTTATTTAAAATAAAATTTACAAAAAAATAAAAGAAAAATAAATTACTTGAAGAAAATTTTACATTTGCCAGAAATTGAAATAGCATCTTTAGTAATATTAACATGAGTTTCTTTAGTCGATTCAATATTATCTATCAAATTAACTATTTTTTCTTCAAATTCTTTATATTTTTTATTTTCTTGATTATCTTGAAGTTCAATTTTTCTTTTATTTTGTTAAAGTGATAAAGCTTGACTTGTTTCAATAACTTCTTCAGTCTCTTCTTTAGTTACATAGTCATCTTCGATAAAATTAGAAACTTGAACAGGTTTATATTGTTGAATTGCTGTTTCATTATTTTGTGTTGTTAACTTATTACTTTGATTAAGTTTATTCTTTTGAATAATTCTTTCTTTTTCCTTTAATCTGTTTTGAATTTTTCATGATTCTTCTTTTTCAATTGCTTGACGATATTCTTCTTTATGATGAGTTACGAAATGTTTTTTAAGGTTTGAAAGATTGGTATTAATCGGATAATTCACTTCACAATTATTACAGATGAGATGTGTTTTAAGAGTGTTGGTGTGAAAATAACTTTGAATTTCATGTGTATTGCGCATTTTGTTTTTTGTTTAAAGAATTTTAATCTTTACAATTAAATATTTGTTTGATTTTTTGCGAAACATTAAATTCCAAATCAGAATTTTACGGATTAGGCAATTATTAATAATTACAATTCCAAATCAGAATTTTATGGATTTAGAAAGTTGCACAAATCTCATTTTTTATACCAAATCAGGAATCCGAATTTGGAAAATTTAATTTACGCACTAGTTCCAAATCAGAATTTTACAGATTGGTAATTTTACGGATTTAGCATAAATTAATCGTCACTCTATAATTCAACATGTATCTCGTAAAAGAAAAAACTTAGTTTTTTTTTGGTTTCCTTCAAACATCTATAAAAGCAAGGAAATCGTTACCTTGTCACAAATCAAATCAAAACGATTCAACCGAATACAAGCTCTCTGAGCAGTTATTCAAGAAGTAATAAATAATTACTTTGGTAATTAACATATTACTTCATAATGGAAAGAGATATTGTGACTCATTTCACAAGATTCTCTTCCATTAAACAAAAGAAATTTTATGAATCTTTCGTGATCCTTAATAAAATTTCACATAACAACATCGATTTTGACCGTTCCTTTGTTATTGTTTACTCACGACTTAAATCTAAAGAGAAGTTCGACTTGCTTGAACATAGTCAAGAAATCAAATTTCTCGATTATTTTCAATGTAAATGCAAAAAGGAAAAGACTTTTCGTCCTGATCTCTGGCAATACGATAACCGTCATTCGGATCAACAATGTCCATTCAGAAGAAGATACGATTACTTCAGGTTGCTTCAAAGTGTTAATCCGAATATACCAGATAAAGAGAAACTAACACGCAAATCATCCAAAGGTTCTTTGATGCGAATGAAAAGATATTTTCGAACGTACAGACTTGATTATGACATATTTTTTTGGGTGAAAAGTTATTATAATTCGCAAACACAAAATTATAAAGATGAAGTTGCTCTTCTGCGAGATTTTAAGCAGTATGTGTTTAGAAAGCGAAAAAAGATCGTTAAAGCTAACAAACAGAAAAAAAACAAACTTGATCAAAAAGAAATCGAGGTCGGTAAACAACTCATTGAAAATATAGACTCTCGATTGAATCAAATAGAAGAATATACTCCCAAATCTCCAGAATACCATCCAGTTTCACCATCTGCTCAGTTAAATACCGAGTAGATATTTATTTACGTAATTCACAATGCAGTTCGAACAAATTCTCATCAATTTATTCCAAGTATTTCTTAATTTTATTGTTCATTTTAACAAGACTATTTATAATAAACGAATCAAATCTGATAATAAATTCTATCCGGTCAACACATATCTTCAACTGAATCCTCAAATTGATTCAAATGAGTTTTTTAAAAAAGCAAATGAAATTGGAAGAATTAACATGACGACCAAATATCAATATCCGTTAAATCAAGGCCATTGTTAGAATTGCAAACGAACCTTCTCTCATCAATGTTGTACAGCATGCAAAAAATTGAAACGAGTATCCCTAGAATATTGTGATTGTAAATATATATGTGGTTTCACGTATCCAACAAATCAACCAAATCAGTTTAGCAAATGTAAATGGACCACAAACAATTCGAATTCTTTAATTCATGAATGTAAAGGGATGGTTCAGAAAGATAGTTTTAT